ACAAAAAGCATTAATCATAGCCAAGGAGGCTGGAGATAGGGCTTAGTGGTGGAGCACTTGATTAGCATGCCTAGGTTTTATCCCCAATACAACAAGAAAACAAAAAAATATAATGGCTAGGTGTGGGGACACATTCTGCTACTAGGGAGGCTGAGGCAGGAAGATTGCAAGTTTGAGGCTGGCATGGGCAAATTAGTAAGAGCCTACCTCAAAACCAAAGGGTTGAGGATATAGCTCAGCCATCCCTGGGTCCAGTCCCCAGTACTGTAAATAATCACTCACTCACACACACACACACACACACACACACACACACATATGTCCATCGACACACAAATAGCACACCCATAAATAGAATATCAGTTAGCAATAAAAAGGTATTATGGATAAAACATGGTTAAATTTCAAATACTGTATTGGTGTTAACATATTTCAGGAACAAGGCAGTATGTTTATATGTCAGAAGTTTTGTTTAATTCTATGGTATTTCTAAATCAATTTAATAAATTCAGCAAGTTAAAAAAAAACCCAGCAAAAACACTGTTAAGTGAGACAGGCCAGACACAAAAGGCTGCATACTGTATTATTTCATTTATATGAAAACCTGGCATGGTGGCAGGCACCTGGAGTGATACTACTCAGGAGGCTGAGGCAGATGTGAGCCCAGAAATAAAAATAAAAATTTTAAAAATCTAGGAAAGGCATAACAAAGGTGACAGGAAGCAGATTAGCTGTTGCTTGGGATCAGAGGGAAAACAAGGAAACTCCTCCATAACTGCAAACTTCTACTGACACTCACTGAACTGCACACTCAAATGAGTGAACTTTTAGGCATATAAATTAAACTCCAGTAAGTTAAAAAACAAAATGCTTCTGGTCCAAACACAGTAAGTACCACTTGATATTAATGAAACTAAAACTGGCATAACAGCAAATATTTTAAGCCAGGTGTGGCAATACATACCTATAATCTCAGCACTCTGGGAAGCTGAGACGAGAGGATCACAAACTCTAGTCCAATCTGGAGAATTTAGTCAGACTGTTTTAAAATTTTAAAAAAGCCGGGCAAGAACCTGAGTTTGATACCCAGTACCAGAAAAGAAAAAAAAAAAAAATGCCAAGTGTGGTAGTGCATGCCTATAATCACAGCACTGGAGGCTGAGACAGGAGGACCGCCAGGAATTTGAGGCCAGCCTGGGTTACATAGAGTTCAAGGACAGCCTGAATTACATAGTGAGATCCTGTCTCAAAAAACAAACAAAAAAAGGGCTCCAGATACAGCTCAATGCAAAGGGCCTGGGTTCAATCCTCAGTACCAAGGGGGGAAAAAGCAAGTATTTTAATTCCAATTCGTTTTGCCAAATGGGAAAAATATTTGGCTCTTCTCTGAGTACAGGTTCTTTTTAATTTTATGGATCTCTTCTAAGATTTCTTTAAGGTTAGATATATATGCCTGTATGGGTCGAATTAGTTTAAACTGGAATCCAAGTTTTGCTATTTGCTTTGGAAATTGTGGTTCATGAAATCTAAGTACACATGTAATTTCTTGAACAAAAAGTTCATTGACAAGTGCCACAAAATAAGTCCAGGACGGGCAGAAAGACCTAGAAACAGGACTTGAGAGCTTCTCAGAGAAACTGGCCTTGAGCTTCAGTATGGCAGAGAAAGACACAAGTCTCCTTTATTTGAGGTTTCCTCTTACCTGTGGTCAGCTGAAGCCAAAGATGCAGTGCAGTCCAGTAAAAATCACTTATGTAACCTTTATTACCGTGTATTGTTGTCACTGTCTGTTTTATTAGTTGGTGTTAATCTCTTGCCTAGTTTGTAAGTTTTACCATCAGTATGTTCAGGGAAAAGCAGTATACAATCATACCTTGGTACCTGACTGCTTTGAAACTTGTGGAATTTGGTACCTGAAGGATTTTCATGAGAAAATTTTGCCCCAGTATTCATCATTTGTGGTTCTCTATGTGCAAGTTAGCACTTGGTGTCAGTTACCCCCTGACTTGCATTACACTTTTCAGCCAAAACAGTTTTTTTGGTACCTGCCATTTTTGGTACTTCCCACGCCTTCCGAAACCAGTATCTAGATACCGCCATATATAGCATTAGGTGCATGGCGATGGTTAGGGCGCACCTTGGAACAGCCCCCAGGGGTAAGAGGGGCTACTGCAACTACAAGGGGAAGGAGGAACATTCCAGGGAGGAGGAGAGCATGCGCAAAGGGCTTGCTCACGGAAGGAAACAGGATGGACAGCATCTGTAAGAAGGGTAAATGGGGAGCTGTGGGACACAGGAGGCTGGCTAGGTGGGCCAGGTTAAAATGTGCCATTTTAAAATCACATTTGGGGTTGGGAGTGTGGCTCAATGGTACAGTGTTTCCCTAGCACATGAGGCCCTGGGTTTGGTCCTCCAGCGCTACAAAATTAATTTAAAAATCAGATTTGACAGTCAGATATGCATGGTAGCTCATGCCTATAGTTCCAGCTACTTAGGAGGCTGAGGCAGGATTGCTTGAGCCCCGGAGCTCAAAACCAACCTGGGCAGCATAGTAAGACTCATCTCTTAAAAAATAAATAAGCTTGCGCCAGGGATTTAGCTCAGTGGTTCCAGCGCCTGCCTAGCAAGTGCAAGGTCCCAAGTTCGATCCTGGTAACTAAATAAATAAAGAAGCAAGTTTACATGGTAGCACATGCCTATAATCTCATCCAAGGAGGCTGAAGAGGATCACAAATTCAAGGTTAGCCTAGGAACTTAGTGAGACCCTGTCTTAAAGAAATAAAAAGGCAGCTGGGCATGGTGGTGCAGGCCTATAATCCCAGCACTAGGGAGGCTGAGGCAAGAGGATCACCATGAGTTCAAGCCCAGCCTGGGCTACATAGCGAGACCCTGTCTTTAAAAAAAGGCAAAATAGAATAGTACCTTCCTGGAGTGCAGTTCAGTGGTAGGTTCTATCCCCAGTACCTCTAAATAAATAAATGAGGTGCATACCGGAGGTCACTCTGGTTGCCGCACAGATGGGCTAGAGGGGAAGCAGGGTGACTGTGGCGTGAGACTGGGCTTCAGGCAGCGGCAGCTTGGACTGGGTCGATGGGAGGAAGGGGACAAAAGTGAGCGAGCTGGGGAAGTGGAGCTGATGTGATGATAGAGCGAGTGAGAGAGGAGGCTTCCAGGGGAACTGTGGCTGAGGAGGTGGCACAGGAGGAAAGCACACACATGGCCCGGGGTTTGTTCCATCCCCAGCACCAAAAAGAAGCATGAAGATTTCTGGCCCCTGCAACGTGATGCAGTGGGGAAACTACTCATTCAGCAGTTGCTAGGTAATGCCATGTCTGCGATGTGGGGCCAGACCTTGCTCCTCCGAGTACCATTTAGCACTGCTGCATCCTCTGGGGACTGCTAGAGACAGGGCTTCTCACCCCAACCCCAGCAGCTGATCCAGCATGGCACAGGAGGTCGCCACAAGTTTGAGAGAGACAGAGACAGAGTATGAATGAGAGTCACTGGTCTCAAAAATTCTTAGTCTGTGTCAGGCTCAGGTGTCTACATTTGGCTGTGACTGGAGGCGAGGTGTCTGGGGCAGGTTCATTCTCTCCTCAGTAAAATGGGACCACCTACCTCACAGCGTTGCTCAGATGATGCCTGAGCTTATGAAGAGCCCGGGAAAGAGCGAACAACTTCTCTGCCACAGAAAAATGCAAATTCTTTTCCAATGAAATCCTTCCCAGATGATGCACTAGCAAAGCCAGGAGGAAACTGAACATTCTAGTGATTGCTGATGGTCTTATCTTGGGTTACCAATGTAACAATTCAGGAGAAGCTGGAGAGGGGTGTGGTGGTGCATGCTGGTAATCCCAGCACTCTGGCAGGAAGATCACAAATTGGAGCCTAGCCTGGGCAACTTGTTGAGACCCTGTCTCCAAATTTCAAGAAAAAATTTTTTAATGGACTGGGAATGTAGCTCAGTGTGAAAACCGTGGGTTGAATCTCACTACTGCAAAATAGAGAGGGAAAAGGACAGAGTGAGAAGCTGGGAAGATGCACATTCTACTAGCGACTGGTGACTCCATTCCTGGTTATAAACCTCTAAGAAAACTCTCACAAGTACCCGCAAGGGGATCACTACAATATTGTGATATGTTTTTGTGTTTTGAGACAGGGTCTTGCTATGTAGTTCCAGCTGACCTTGAACTAGCCCAGGCTAGTCTTGAACTTGTGGTGATCCTCAGGCCTCAGCCTCCTGAGTGCTGGGACTACAGGTGTGCACCATCACGCCTGGCTCAATAGTTCCACATCTTGGAGTTAAAACTTGGGTGTGGTGTTAGGGGACAGAAACCCCAAAATAACAGTTATTTAAGCAAGACAAAGTTCCTCGTTCACATAAAAGTCCAGAGGTCAGTGGTGCGGGGGCTGGTAAGGTGCTACATGGAGACTGAGCCAGGCTCCTCTCACTCCCTGCCATGAGGCCGCCGGCCTGGAGGTCCCCCGTGTCAAGGACACCTGTTTCACATCCAGTCAGCAGGCAGGAGGCAAGCGAGGAGAGGGCACACAGGCACACACGCCCCTGTATAGACTTCCTGGAAGTGGCTCCCTCTCCCACTTGGACCCCAGGAGCCAGAACTGGCAATGGCCACCTCCAGGTGGATCCCATGTGATACCTGCTCCCATGTAAGGGCTATGCAAACAGTTATACTGTCTTGCTTGGGGAATGACAACAGGAAGAAAGTCTATACACACTCAGTACAGAGATCCATTTCTTTCCCTAACAGTTTCAACTCATGGCTGGTTGACTCTCTGGATGAAACTGCGTTGACATGAAGGGCCAGCCATACTGTCTTTGTGCTGAGTGTCTCTGCTCTGAGTTCAGAGCCATGGGCTCTAGTACCTGTGAACGAGCAGAAATGGATATGGGGAAATAATTAGTGGTCTCTGTCACGAGGACTTTAGCAGGTGTGTCACCAAGGCCGCGCAGACTGAAAGAAACCCTCAGGACACACAGGTGGAGTGTATTACCATTTATTCTGCTGAGATGGAGTACATATGATTATGTACATGCTTATCAATGGGCTCAAAAGATCTGAAAACAGGAAGAGCTAGGACATATCATGAATTATTTAAATGTTTTAAAATGCAAAGGAATCCCACATTCCAATAAAATTTTACTATGAAGTCAACATACCTTTGCTAAAATTATACCACTGTCAGTGGACGATTAATGGTTTTAGTAGACAAAACTGATAAAACTGGCTCGCTATAAGGTTTAAAAAAAGAAAAAAAACTTGGTTTCACATAAAAAAAGGTAGGTACATTTTAAATCATTTAAAAGTGAGGCTTGGGCCAGGCATTTAGCTCAGTGGTTTCGCCATCTGCTGTGTAAACACAAGGACCCAAGTTCGATCCCCGGTACCGAAAAAATAAAATACAATAAAATAAAAGTGAAGCTCCAGGGGCCAGGGATTTAGCTCAGTGGTTATGCCGCCTGCCTTGCAAGCGAGTTTGATCCCCAGTAACAAAAAAAACAAACAAAAAAACCTCCTATAAAAGCGAGGCTCCCTATTTAGCAGCCAATATGGCTTGGTATTGGCCAGTGAGAACCCAATGTTTGACCTCCAGAACAGCTGCCAGCCAGTCCATATCACAGTGTCCTAGCTGGACTTCAGCCTTATTCAGTGACCTCAACAGGAGAGGAAAAACCACCAAGCTAACTTTTCTTCTGTTAATATCTTTAAATAAGACAGTGAAATGCAAAAACTTTATAACAAAATGGTTAATTTGTCTACATTAAAATCAAGAATAGGGGGGCCGGGGATGTAGTTCAGTGGTTTCGCCGCCTGCTGCACAAGCACAAGGACCCAAGTTCGATCCCTGGTACCAAAACAAACAAAGAATAGGGGTTGGAGATGAGCTCAGTGGCGCTGCACCTGCCTCACAAGCGCAAGGTCCTGAGTTTGATCCCTGGTACTGGGCAGAAAAAAAATCAAGAATGTTCAGTGAAAGATAGCCCTACATACACAAAGTGCTGTTCTAGGAGTTATTTGCAATCACCCAAGAATTCACAAGCAACTCTTCAGAATAAACAAACATAAAAAAAGGAAGCTCCAGGCCTGGGGATGTAGCTCAGTGGTTCCGGTGCCTGCCTGTCAAGTGCAAGGTCCTGAGTTCAATTCCCAGTATCAAAAAAATAAGGAAGCTCCATGAGAAAATGAGCATTTGGGCCGGGGTTTTAGCTCAGTGGTTCCACTGCTTGCCTCAAAAGCGCAAGGTCCTGAGTTTGATCCCTGGTACCAAAAAAAAAAAAAAAAAAAGAAATAGGGCCAGGGATTTGGCTCAGTGATTTCGCTGGCTGCTGAGCAAGCTCAAGGACCCAAGTTGAATCCCCGGTACCAAAAAAAAAAAAAGAAAATGAGCAATTCACAAAAAGAGAAATCAGAAAGGCTGATAGATACATTTAAAAATTCTTTTTTGGTATTTGCTGGCAGTACTAGGATTGAACCAAAGGCTTTAGCATCGAACTATATCCCTGGCCCTTTTTAATTTTTTATCCTAAGACAAAGTCTCGCTAAATTGCCAAGTCTGGGCTTGAATTTCTAACCCTGCCTCAGTCTCCACAGTGCTGGAATTACTGTGTGCTCCATGCCCAGCTAAAAAAAAATGTACCTAAATTAATGATCAGGTGAATGCACATTAAAACATGGTGTCATTTTATACCCATCAGATTATCCAAAATCAGAAAGTTGGACAACACTCAGTGGTGGTAAGGATGAGAAGGGAAGCTTCCAATGGGAGAGTCAATCCCCATTCTGAGGAAAAATCTGGGAAGCCAAAGAAATTCATCTGAATGACCCATTATCCTCTCCTGGGCACACAGCCTAGAGAACTGTTCACATAAGCATAGAAGGGGCCCCAGAAAATGATGTTCATCATGGCCTGTGTACAGTGCCAAGGCACTGGAAGCACCCAGGGGTCAACCACGTAAGACATCATGTGACAAAATGCAGGTGATGCCCCTGTGCAGCACCAGGAAGCAGTTCAGGGCAACGATACAGCTACAATGAGCAGCAGGCTAGAGCGTCACACATGGTGGGTGAAAAGAGTATAGGATCTATTGCACGATACCACTCCCTCATAAAACTATCTTTTAAAGATATATACAAATGGGCGGGGGATTTAGCTCAGTGGTTCCAGTGCCTGCCTCGCAAGCGCAAGGTCCCAAGTTCGATCCCCGGTACCAAAAAGAAGATATATTCAAATGTGTAATAAATATATTAGATGGGGTACTAATGAGAGTGGTGTAAAGAAGGGAGAAAGTCATAAAACCAGAGAATTTTTGCATGAGACTATATGCCCAAGTTCCAAAACAAAACAGCTTAAATATGTGCACCAGAAAAAGTGACTAGAGTCCTGGGGTTGAGGAGATACTCAGGGCTGAGATTCCACTACTGTTATCCTAGAAGACTATCCTGTCTACCTGTGCTTAAGCTCAGTACACATGCTCTACTCATTTCCTCTCCTGCATGCTAAGGAGCCTGCATCACACATGGCTCCAGCAAACCCAGCCCCCATGTGAGAATAAGGCCACTGTTGGTACTCAGTGTGATGTAAATCCCAGACCTGGAAACCCATACCAAATCCTTGTTTATTTCAACTTACTCTTTAAACATGAGCAAAGTTTCATGGAGCAGACATTTCAGTGAAGCAAAGGGCAGTAGCGGAGTTTCAATAGGACAGGTGGGCTACAAAACTCAGCACATGTGTGTGGTACCACAGGCCACTGGGGGCAGCAACAACCCCCGTGCAATTAACCTGGTGGTTAACGGCTTGAGGCCAGGGCTGATAGGAGATGGGGCCCAGAGTCAGTCCTTGCTTTTGATTCAGTTTAAAAATAAACGACCTCACCTTCTGCTCACCCTTACAGGGCCAAAAAGGAGTTTCTCCTAAGTCTGGCTGGGCCTCCAAACAGGGAATGGGGTTTTAGCCCCAGACCTCGATGAGGTCCCCAGATTCCATCCCCAGATCAGCTGGTAGCTCCTTGCCCGAAAGCTTTGTCCCATCAAAGAAGAAGGAGAGCTTGTGGCCAGAGAGTCCCATGGCCTCCTCGTAGTGCAACATGAGGGTCTCAAGGGGGGAATCCTGGGAGGAGAGAGAAAAAAATCGATGTAAAAACGTGAAAGGCGGGTGGGGGAGGTCCCTATAGGGCTGGACAAAGAACCTGAAACAGATCAGGCCCGTCAGTGAGGTTAGCGCCCCCTGGAGGGACAGCAAACGGATGAGAAAGCCAGCTCAGCCAGGTTCCGCTTGGGAACTGGGACAATGTATCAATACATCATAAGACAGCCAGGGATGTAGCTCAGGGGTTCCGGCACCTGCCTCGCAAGCGCAAGGTCCCAAATTTGATCCCTGGTACTGAAAAAATTATATATATATATATATCATAAGACAGTCCAGGTTCTAGACTGCGAATGATCCAAGCCAGGGGCTCGACTTTCCCACTTATTTGATGTGTGACCTTAGAAAAGTGTTATGGGTTGAACTACATCTTCCAGAAGATTATTACATTCCTAACCCCTGGGGCCTTGAAAATGTAATCAAGTTAATTTGAAATAAGAAGAAAAGGTCCAAAGGGGTAGGGGTGGTGGGAGGGGAAGGGGAAAGAAAAGAAGGGAAAGGACAAATTATGAGAAAAGAAAAAAAATGGAAATGAAGTCTATGAAAATAGGGAAGGGTGGAGGGGGTGAAAGGCGCACAGGTAATGGGGAAAAAATAAGAACCATGATACATCATGTACAGGTACAAGCACCCAACAATAAATGTAAATGCACTGTATACCTAAAATGTACCAATAAAAGAATTTAAGCAAAAAGAAAATGTAAACAAGATGAGGCCATACTTGATTAGAGAGGCTGCTAGTCCAATATGACGTATGTCCTCGGATGAAAGAGACAGAGTGACCCAGCTGCAAGCCAAGGGGCTCTGGCTACCCAGAAGCCAGAAAGAGGCAAAGAAGGGTTCTACCCAGAGGCTTGGAGGTTGTGCGGCCCTACTAACACCTTTATATCAGACTCCCAGTCTCCAGAACTGTAAGATAATAGATTTCTATTGTTTTAAGCCACCCAGTCTGTGATATAGTAGTCCCTGTCATTCTAAGACCCCCGGTGGAGGCCTGAAAACATGGATAGTGGAAGCCTGAAGCCAAGAATATATATACTATTTTTTCTTTTATATACACTTAAGATAAAGTTTAATTTATTAATTAGGCACAGTAAGAAATTAGCAACTAATAATAAAACTAGAGCAATCTTTTCTTTTTTTTGTTTTTTTTTTTTGGTACTAGGGATCAAACTCAGGACGACTTTGTGCTTATGAGGCAGGTGGTAAAACCACTGAGCTAAATCCCTGGCCCAACTAGAGCAATCTTAACAATAGACTGTAAATTGCAATAAAAGTTATATGAATGTCATCTGTCTCTCTCAAAATATCTTATTGTACAGTGGATTATAGCATCTCAGCATGTGTTTTTAAGAATTTTCATTTAGGCCCGGGAATTTAGCTCAGTGATTCTGTCACTTGCCTTCCAAGCGCAAGGTCCTGAGTTTGATCCCCGATACCAGAAAAAAAAAAGAATTTTCATTTAAAGGAAGCACTTTTTTTTTTGGTACTGGAGATTGAACTCGGGACCCTGTGCTTGCGAGGCAAGCATCAGAACCACTTAGCTAAATTCCTGGCCCTAAAGGAAGCACTTTGGCTGGGCATACTGGCACATGCTTGTAATCCCAGCACTTGAAAGGCTGAGGCAGGAGGATCACTGCAAATTTGAGGCCAGCCTGGGCTACAAAATGAGTTCAAGGCCAGTCTGAACTACAAAGGGAGACCCTGCCTCATACGGGAAGGAGGGAAGGAGGGAAGGAGGGAAGGAGGGAAGGAGGGAAGGAGGGAAGGAGGGAAGGAGGGAAGGAAGGAAGGAAGGAAGGAAGGAAGGAAGGAAGGAAGGACGGACTTTACAGCTTCTCTTTGTGACATCCAAATTGCTAGCATCACTAGGCATGTGCTTTGAGGCTATTTTAAAATGAGGGTTACTTGAACACAAGCACTGTGATACCCTAAGAGTCAGTCTGACAACCCAGACAGCTACTAGGTGAGTAACGGGCAGAGCAGTGTGGCGAGTCCGGAGAAGGATCTGCCCCACCTGAGTGGGGCAGTGTGGGATGGCAATGGCAGTGCAAGGCTGCTGCTGCAAGAGACCCCCCTGGGGATCATGCCCAAAGCAGGCTGCATGAAGTAGAGGCACTAACCCCACACCTGGCTTGTTTTAAAAAGTGAGTCTGGCCAAAGCCTATGTGACTCATGAGAGCACTGTGGATGGCATGTGGGTTAGCACTACCCCCACACCTGCCAATAGCCACAGCAGAGACCAGAGAAATGGTCTGTGACCCCTGGGCCTATGAGATAAAATAACGTGACAGCCGAGGTCAGAGTGATTCTTACCCAAATTCCATTCCCAGAACTGAAACCTTCTTAACTGAAAAGATGTGTTAATCATTAGCCACAACATGTATCTGATCTGTTCTGATCCTAAAGCAAGAATGCTTTGTCCCTTCTTTTACAAGCCTTGCCTGCATCGGCAACCACATGTAGCCTCCTCATCCCAATTTAACAAATGATTGTATCACCAATAAGTATAGGTGGTTCTGGCTGTTTCAGGGTCTTTGCTTGCTCAGCACTGACCATTCTAGTTCCCTATTTCACTTAGATTCTGTCTCTAAGTCGTTCCTCTTGCCTTTAGTCATAGCACCAAGCAGGAGACTGGGATCCTCTGCGGGGGGGCCCCGATAGTTAACTCTGCTCAGAATGATTTAAAACACAATTTAAAACTTATAAATTACAAAAAAACCCAACCTTATGAATTGTTTATTTCTGGAATTTCTTGTTTAGTATTTTCTATTCCGTGGGTACCTAAAACCACTGAAGGCAAACCCCAGGTAAGGGGGAACTTCCTTGCCGTATTTTGCTACAGCTGCTATAAGAAATGAATACAGTGAATTATTCTACTTCTCTAGATCTTGGTTTCCTTTTTTTTTTCCGCTTTGAGACAAAGTCTCACTATGTAGTCCAGGGTGGCCTTGAACCTCACTGTGTCATCCAGGCTGGCCTCAAACTTGTGATCCTCCTGCCACAGCCTCCCACATGCAGGGATCCATTTCCTTATTTCTTAAGTGAATGTAACAATAGTCCTTTCCCACATATGACTGTTACAGACTAGAGCAGAGGTCCCAGCAGGAGGAGAAGGGAAGTTGAAAGATGGGCTTCCTCCACTTATAGGCTGGATAGGCACCCAAGAACATGGAGACAAGTGTTTGCAGAGTCAGGATTAGGAGGAATCTGGCACCTATAAACTGACAATAAGAGACAGCAGAGAAAAGATGGGGAAACATGCATGGCCACTTCCCCCACTCACTTGAGACAGCAAGATCTCCAGCATCTGGTGTTTCTCTTTCCCCTGCACCCGGAGCCGGAGCTGCTGGGACACCTCTGCACCCTCTGAGGAATTTGCCAGCACCACACAGTCTGCAGGAGGCAGGATTAGGAAGCCAGGCCTAAGTAGGGGGTTGGAAACAGGCCCCATCCTGGGACACTCCTCTGTTCCCCTCTGGTAACAAAAGCCTCAAAGCCCAACCACTTTGTCTTCTACTCACCAATGATGTCAGCCACTCCAAGCTTTAGGGTCCTGGGGGTAGCGGCAGGGGACAGCTCTGTCTCTCCAAAGAGCAAGAGAATCCTGCTTGGGGATACCCCGAGATGAGAGGCCATGTGGTCCACCACACTCTGCAGAGGCTCCGACTAAGGAAGGCGACAAGCAGCAAAGGTAGCCTTCCTGCCTTGAAATTCCTTGCCCCACTCCTACCCTAACACCACTAACCCAAACACAAGTTTCCAGCCTAAACTCCTCAGATGTGAGCTACATTCACCTTAGTCACCATAGTCAACATATTTATCAAGTATAAAATAAAGTCATGTCAGTAATGAGTTCAGATGAATAGCACAAAAAAATAAAGCAGCCACGGTTTAAGAGAAAAATGGAATGGTAGGATTGCCACAAATGAATCACATGGCCATCTTTTTTTTTTTGGTACCAGGGATCAAACTTGGGACCTTGCGCTTGTGAGGCAGGCGCCAGAACCACTGAGCTGAATCCCCAGCCCGCACATGGCCATCTTAACAGGCCAGCTCTTATACACTTCGGGTGACTGCTACCCTGTGTGTGAACATGGGTCAGTCTGACTGCAACTTCCTATTTTTAAAAGCCAGAAACTTGAGCCGCTAAGTATCTATTGCAAAGACTGTCAACAAACTTGTTTTATCTGGCAGTGTGGGGGTGGAACTCAGAGCCTCTCACCTGCTAGGCAAGCACTCTATCCTGTCACACCCATCTCTAACCCCACATCTATGTTAAATGCTCCTACAGAACAGGCAGCACATCACTGTTGAGAAGGCCATGGATGGTCAGTCTACAGCCTCCACCTTAGCTGCTTGACTCATCATAGTGCTCATTTCTGTTATCATCTTTGGTGTTGAACTGGGGCCATTCCTACACAATATCAGCCTTTGTCAGGAAGCTGGGGAACTGAGGATGATTGACATCTACTATGTTCAGCAAGTGAGGACAACCCCAAGGGGGAAGCACAGGCTCTACTGAGGCACTCCCAAGAAATGCTTCCTAGAAGACACATGCTTAAATGAAGCCTTGAAGAACGAGTAGGAAGTCTGCCAGAAAAAGAGGAGATTGAGGGAAAAAACAGAGGGGATAGCAAGCATAAGGCATGGAGGGAAGAAAGAGCGGTGGGAAGCCAGGAAGCTCTAGGAGCAGGATGAAAAAGGAAGACATGGTCCCTCCTTCCAAGGCAGCTCCTAAGTCCTCCTCCTGCAAGCCCTCAGGTACTTACCATTTTGATGGGCAATCGGACCACATCAGCCCGGCACCAGACTTTGAGTGGGAAGAGCCGGGGCTTGTCTGGGAGGACAGGCCCTTCTACGAGGAGAACCTCATCATCTTGGCTCCGGTGGCCTCGGCCCTGATGCTGCTTGGGGCTCAGGCAGGATCGGAGATCTCGGAGGCGCTTGTTCACCTCCCTGCATGCACAGAAGACTTTGGGTCAGTTGGGATTGGCCACCTAACAAATTGCCCCTCCTCACCCCAGCAAGGAGCCCCAGCCTCTGGCACCTTAACTTCTGAAGTGCCGGAGTACGCTTCCTGCTTTTGCCTCTCGGTGGAGGTGAGGGCAAAGGAGAGGTGTCCTCAGCCCTGTAGAGAGGAGAGAGGGACAGGATAGAGACTAAGGAGAAACTCCAACCCTGTACTTCTTTTCATGGGCTGTTGACCCCAGGAACCAGAGAGAGAGAGCTAGACAATCAAGAAGCACCTGCCAGTAACATCCATTTTACTGGAAGACAAAGTAGGTAAGGGAGAGGAAAAAACTAAGACATCATTTTTATATTTACAAGACCCAATATGAGGGAGGAAAATGCCTATTTTAAAATAAGTTACTTTCCAGGTAAATATCTGATAATATCCAACAGACATCAGGCACTTAATAGTCTTCACCTACTCAACAACTCTGACAGTTACCATGATTACCCCCATTTTACAGAGAAACAGTAGCACTGAGAAGGTGGGGGGCAGACAGCCAGCTGAGTGTCAACCATGCCCTTCACCCCTGCACAGCCCACCGGACTCCCTTCCCACTGACAGTCTGAAAGTCCTGTGCTAATCTCCAGGGTGGGTCACCTCTTTCCAACCTGAGCCTCCAGACTCCTTCCTTGCCTTCTTACTCTTTCAGGAGCCACTTGAGGGTTCTGTCTGCCTCAGCTTACCTCTCCAGTTCCCTTCCTGTTCCCTAGGCCAGAGTGCCCCAGCCTCACTCACAGTAACACCTCCTTTTCCTTCTCTTCTTTCTCATCTTCACTCCTCAGTTTCTTCAAGGGAGAGCTTGGAAATGCAGGATCCTCAGGGTGAGGACTGCTGGAATCTGCCATATCTGCTTCTGGAGGAAGAGCAGGAAACGTGCAAAGGGTTAGCTATGAGATGGCAGAGGGAGGCCAAGGAGAAACAAGTCAGAAGCGTTAAGAAGGGCCCAAGGGATGGGGATATGAGCAAGGCCCTGGGCTTGATCCCCAACATCACCAAAAAAAACATTTTTGAAAAAAAATAAGGGTGAGACAAAGGAGACCACTAAGTCCCCAAACACACACAGGACCACTCAAGAATACTGGAAAAGTGTTCAGGGGCCATAACTGTTATTTGCTTAATAATTTTCTTTATTTCATTCATTTTAACTTAAACTTCTAATTTAAAAAGTCAAATATCCTGAGCAGTTTTGAAGCTTTTGCTATGTTGCTCTGGATCTACTATGTGCATGTGTTAGATTCAGGTACAAAATATGACTTTCGCCGTCATTTAAATAAATTTTAGATATTTGTCCAAAAAATATCAAATATTATTCTAGAATATAAACTTTTTCCCATTTGCTTGCTTTCAATGAAAGAATATCATAAGACTAGGGTATAGCTCAGTGGTAGACTGTATGTTTAGCATGTGCAAGGCGCTGGGTTCAATCCCATGTACCACTCACCTAAAAAAAAAAACAAAAACGGATTATAAAGCATAAAAATAAATACAGTTGGGCTGGGACTATAGCTCAATGCTGTGTAGCAGGCTCAAGGACCTGGGTTCCAGCCCCAGGACTGCAAAAGCAAATAAATACATACATACATATGAAAATGCAAATGAAACCATAATGATCAACTTTAGATCAGTGGTTCTTAATCAGGGGCAATTCTGCCTCTGGAAGACCATGTAGTAATACTGGAGACAATTTTGGTTGTCACAGTGTGGGGAGGGGGCTGGGATACATTATTGGCATCAAGTAGAAAGAGGTCAGGGTGGTGTTAAAGTTTCTACAGTGTACAGGATAGACCCCCAAATAAAGAATTTTCCAGTCCAAAATGCCAGTAATGCTGAGGTTGAGAAATCCTGTCCTGGCTAAATACAGCAGCTGCTACAGGCATGAAATTCTGCACTTCTAAAAAGCTCCTGTGGGATGCCTAATATGGCTGGGCCCACATTTTGAGTAGCAAGGACAGAGGCACCTTTTACAATGGCACTTCTATCTTCCACATACTGTTGTCCTAAACCATACACAGGGACAAGACAGCTCTTTCTATATCCCCTTTAAATAATTCTCATCCCTTTACACAGATCCAGTATTATCCTCATTTTCCTAGTGAAACATTAAGAGGTTAAGTAATTTGCCCAAGGTCACACAGCTATTAAGGTTAGAGTTGGGATTCAAACCCAGGCCAAATGGCTCCTAAGTCTGCTCTTAGTCTGTGATGCTCCTTCATGGTAGAGAAATCTAGGGCCAGGGATTTAGCTCAGTGGTTCCGGTGCCTGCCTCACAAGTGCAAGGTCCTGAGTTCGATCCCCGATACCAAAAAAAAAAAAGTCATGGTAGAGAAATCTAGGTCCAAAGTCTGCATTTGTGAACTGGATCACTTCCCTATTAGTGATCCTATTCACTGCCCGTTGCAAAAGATCTGCAAAAATTGTATCTGGGGAAGGACAAAGACTGAAAGACCAGATAAGTTTCAGTGAACATCCTGCTGGCTCCAGAGTGTTCCCAAGAAACTTGTTGCAGATGTAACTAGATGTCACAGTTTCTCAACACTCCCTCTTACCCTGCCCCCACTAGGATTACAGTATCAGAATATCTGGAGGTGGCATTTGAAATCTTTAAATTAACACTGTTTTGTGCTGAGTTGGGAGGAGAGTGGTTAGCAGTAACATGAGTCTCCTCTCCCATGCCATCTGCTCCCAGCCCTCAAGAGACAATGAGTGGGAAGATATTGGCTGTAGGAAAATATACTCCAGAAGTCTCCTCAGAGAAGCCAGTGCTGAGCCCTCTCTTACCTTCCTCAACAACTTCAGGGTAGAATTTCAGGAGAGACAGAGGATCTGGGATGGGATGGAAACTGCTTTCTACCTACAAAAATAAAAAGGGGAAAGTCAGTCCAAAGTCCTCCCTCTACTGAAAGGGAAACCGGGAAATTTTCCCCACAGCTCCTAAATTCTCGCTAAAAATGAGAATATCAGGACTCCAACTTTCCCAGGATCCAAAATGGCAATGCCCCCGCCCCTGTCGCCCGTCCCTAAGGCGCTCTGAAGATGCAGGCTTAGTTGCTGGCCGTCCCTCTACCCCATCTACTCTCAGGGAACCCCAGGTTCTAGCTCACCCTTTCACTTGGGGCCCCTGGCCTCCCAGAAATAGCCCCCTCAGTCCTTTCTGGATCTCCATGGTCCCAGTATCCCAGCCTCCTGGCATTCTTAGCAAGGGACTTCAACCTCAAAACCCAATATCCCCCCCAATATCCCCAAAGCCCAGCTTCAGGTCTTCCCTCCTGTCTCTGACCCGCAAGAACCCCAGCCCTTCAGCCTCCCTGTACCCGCAAGACTACAGCTCCGGGAACCTCGCACTTGAAACAGGCCCCCAACCCCCACCGCAGGGGCCCTGCGTCCCTCGCCCCGACACGCTCGCCCGGGCCGGCCGACCTTCCGGGAGTATACTGGAACCACCGGCACCTCCTCCGGGTCCAGCAGCCGCCGCCGCCGCCGCCTGACCAGGGTCTGAAGGGCTCCTGCGGGCCGCGCGTCCGCCCCGTCGCTGTCGCTGTCGCCCCGAGGCGCAGCAGGCACCCGGGGCTCCGGGGACTGGACCTCAACACCGTCCACTGCACCGCCTGCGGTGGCCACCTCCAGGACATCCTCATCGCCGTCTCTGACCAAGTCCGCAAGCACTGTGTCCACAGTGGGCCCGGCTGGAGAACGCTGGGCGCGAGGACGTCCACCCCGGCCCCCGCGACCGCCCCGGCCACTACGAGCGCCTCGGCCGACCCGGCCACCTCGGGACCTCAAAACCCTACTCCTCACTGGTTCCGCCATCTCACACAATTGCCACGCACAACCGTCTCTACTCTCCACGCCCACCCACCTCACCCAGCGACCTCGGCCTCTCATTGGGTGAACAGCCTGCCAGTCAGCATCCCTCTTCACCCACGCTCTCCGGATCCGCCTCCCTGCCTTTTCATTGGTCAGCACATCCACCCGTCACACATCCTCCACTGAAACAAAGGCGCCAACGATTCTAATACCCTGCGGGCAATCAGCGAAGGGTTTGATTTGGTCGGACTCACCCATTGGCTGGGTTAGTCTCTGCTGACAAGCCTTCTCTGGGCCCCCGCCCATTTAAAAGAGCCGTTCGCCCAGTTGGTAGAGGAGTGGGGCATCCTGGGAATGGTAGTCCTCAACTCTGAGGTCTAGGGAGAGGGGAAAGGCCAGGTGCGAACTTCAGGAGCTACGCAAACTGCAGGCGGTGCGCACCTTTGTCATCCTAGGAGACAGAGAAGCTGAGGGACGAAGATCACCCAGAGTCTAAAGTCAGCCTGGGCTACTTGAGTTCAAGGCCAACTTAAACTGTGTAGGGAAACTCTGCCCTGAAAATAAATAAGTAGAAATGCAGCCAGTAAAGACCAAGGTCACTAGTTTTTAGTTAGGAACAAGGATTACATCGGCAGTTGGACTGCTAGCCATGTGTGTTATGCTCTGGTGGAAAACTTGTCCGCATTTTGCTCCTGTCCTGAGACTTTAATGGAGCCTGAAATTAACAGCAAAACATTATTTAATCTTCCTGAGGAAATTTCAAGGCAGGCTAATGTTGACACAGTGGCATGGCTACGGTTGGGGGCTTTTAGACAGCTCCACCTTGAAAATAAAAACCAAAAGTCACAGCTGGGTGATTTAAAGTTTTAAGCTTGGCCAGAAAGGAAACTCTAGTAAAGTTTCAGACTGATGGAGCAGAGGAGAACTTGGTTGCAGAAGAGAAACAGATATAGTAGAAAAGATAGCCTGAAGTCACAAGAACCAACAGGACTGCACACTTTGTAGCCTCCGTGTTGCAAAGGTAAAAGGCTCTGCTTGGAGAAGAGAGCCTCAGGGCACTATGTTCAGAATGGAGGCAACCTAGAAAAGTGTTCCTTGGGAATTGCTTTCACAGCACTAAGCAATCCAGGCACTCGACCCCTACAGTCCAGAGAGAAGGAAGCCTGGTTACTGCTCCAGCTGGCAGCAGACCTTGGGGCCACCTACATGGCGCTGGTTTTAAGTGCATGCAGAATACAAGAGTTGTGAGGGGCCGGGGATTTAGCTCAGTGGTTTTGCCACCTGCTGTGGAAGCGCAAGGACCCGAGTTCGATCCCCAGTACCAAAAAAAAAAAGAGTTGTGGGGTTAGGAAGGCTTCCACCTAGATTTCAGAAGAAGGCCTAGAGGCCTGGCAGTGTGCAACTACTGAGCTGGCAGTTTGTGAAGCTGTGGGTGTAAAGCCAAAGGTGCAGTGGAGGCCCCAGAAATTTGGAGAAGCCAGGACTGTGGATCATCTGAGGAAAACTGTAAGGAGGGAGCAGAGCTGGCCCAAGAGAAAGGCCATGAAAGCTGAAACTACGTGCAGTGCTGCTGCAGCAGCAGAGCCACCCAAGCCCTTTAGAGTTCACATCTTGCCACAGATTCCCCTGGGTGCTGGACATGGATGTTAATGTTTGCCCTGCTGGATTTTGGACTTGCCTTGGTCCCATTCCTTTCTATTCCTCTATTTGAAATGGGAACGTCTATTTTGTGCTATTGTATGTTGGAAGTGTTTAACTTTCTTTTCATTTGTATGGGGGCTCACAGGTAGGAGTTTGCCTTGAATCTCAAAGACTCGGGACTTGGACTTTTCAGCAGTGCTGAAACTGTTAGGTCTTTGGCAACTCTTGGAGACAAACTAAATGCCTTTTCTGTAAAGAGATGTGCATGAGTCTTTGGGCCCAGGGGCGGAATGTTATGGCTGTGTCTAGACTTCCTCCCAAAGCCTCCTGCGGTCATAAGTGGTGCTTTTCAGAGGCAGCTGGATCTAGGGTGTGTGGTGTTGGGATTAAGTGTGTGATGCTGAGATTAAGGGTATGTGATTACTAAATTAGTCTGCTGATTGGTTTGGTGCAGTTCTGGCTGTGGATAATGGGAAGGCCGATCCTGGGTGTGGGTGGCACCACCCAAAGGGAGGGCAGACTGGGAGGGATAAAAGGGAGAGGCAGGTTGCTGCTGCTCCTTTGTTACTACACTGCTTTAGTGCTTTCTGCCCACCATGAACTCTTTCTCCTCCATGATGCCCCTCTGTCATGTGCCACCCTGTCTTGGAGCCAGCCAAGTATGGACCGAAATCTCTACAAACTGTGAGGCAAAATAAACCTTTTCTCTTAAAAAAAAAAAAAAAAAAAAAAAGCCAGGGATTTAGCTCCGTGGTGCCGCACCTGCCTCACAAGCCCAAGGTCCTGAGTACCAAAAAAGAAAGAAAAAATAAATAAGTAAATACATCTTTTAAAAGGCCGTGTATGGCGCAAGCGCAAGGACCCGGGTTCGATCCCGGTACCAAAAAAAAAAAAAAAAGGCCGTGTATGTAGCTCAGTTTGGGTTCAAGCCCCAGTACTGTACTGAAAAGGGAAAAAGCGTAGTGAGGCCTGAGCCTCCAGGTGGCTCACACGTAAGTGCCTGCTCGGCGCCCCTCTCACACGCGTGTGCCCACTCTCCTCACAGACCCCCTCTGCCAACGGATTCCGGCCACGGTGCCGAGCTCCAGACAGCAGTTTCCCGGCGCAGCCCCGACACCTGTAAGGCGAATGCGAGTCACAGTGGCCGACTCCTCCCTCTGCTGGATGGCGAGAGGCACACGTGCTGCTCCGACCCGGACGGCCCCTCCCAGGGCCCCTGAGCAGCCCGCTGCAGACCCCGGCCTCAAGCTGGCCTCGGTCGCCTCCACCATGCCCGGGCGCGGACCCTGAGCCGAACCGAGAGCTCACGGTGCAGCCCTCGGCTGCGTGAGTCCTTATAAACTTGTGGGGCGGTCCACTACTCCACAAGTAAGGGCCTGGAAGCCCGTGTGCGTGCGTGCGTGCGTGCGTGTGTGTGTGTGTGTGTGTGTGTGTGTGTCTTACTGTACTTGGGGTTGAACCCAGGGACTGACCCTTATTTATTTTTATTCTGAGACAGGGGTCTCGCTAAATTGGTAAATTACCCAGGCTTGGCTGAATTGGCAATCCTCCTCAGGCCCCATCCCCGGCTCCTTTTTTATTTTTATTTTTTATTTTTGGTACTAGGGATTGAACTCCGGACCTTGTGCTTGTGAAGCAGGCGGCAGAACCACTGAGCTAAATCCCTAGCCCTCCTTTTTTATTTTTATACAAATTGTTGGGAGTTAACTTTACTTTTAGTGTTTAGGAAGAGAATATTCAGGAAGAATGTGACTCACCTTTGGTACTGTGTACCTTTGGTACTCTTTCCTTATTTTTGAGGAAAGAGTAAGAATTGCATTTGTATGAAAGACAGCTACCTGCTTTTTGTTTGTTTGGTTGGTTTTGTTTTGTTTTACTGGTATTCAGGGAGCGCTGGCTACACCTCCAGCCCTTTTAAAATTTTATTTTGAGACAAGATTTTGCTAAATTGCTCAGGCTGGAGTAAAACTTGAGACCCTTCTTCTCAGCCTCCCTAGTAGCTAAGATACAGGCCTGTGCCATCACCAGACTTAGGGAGAGTTTGATTAAATTCAATTTCCCAACCCACCAACCCACATTTCACACAAACGGTACTGCACACCTCAGACACTGTGTATCTTCCACACAACTCCTGTACACCACAACACGAGCACAATCTCCACCCCTTCCCAACTCCCAGGGGCCTCCAACACCCCGACTGCTCACTTGTACGTCCGCACCCCGCTTCCCTCACGCACACACTGCCCCTAGAGCTGTGCTTCACACACCCATCCCGAACGCACCTTGCCTCACCGCCATCACAGCCCGGCCCATACCCACAGCCCCCTTTTTTTTTTTTTTTGCATTGTGCGTGCGTGTGTGTGTGTGTGTGTGTGTGTGTGTGTGTGGTTTTTTGTTTTGTTTGTTTTGTGGAACTGGATGTTAAACTCAGGGCTTTCACATTGAGCTAAATCCCCAGCTCTTTTTAAAAATTTTTGACATATGATCTGTTTAAGTCAGTAAGTTCCCCAGGCAGTGTTCAAATGTGTGATCTTCATGCTTCAGCTTCCCAAAGTGCTGGGGTTACAGGCATGCACCAGAATGCCTGGCTTTCTTCCTCTTCCTCCTTCTCCTCCTTCCCCTCCTCTCTCCTCCCTTCTCTTTCTCTTCTGAGTGCGAGGATGGAACCCAAGGCCTTGCTCCTGCTAGGCAAGTGCTCTGCCCGAGCCTTTATTACCTCCTGTGCTCCCTTCCTTCACCCTCCTGTGGTGTCGCCACATCCCCCACAAAAAATCTCAAAGCTTTCTTTTTGTGGCTCAGAATTATAAACTCCCATCATCTGACCCCCTTTCCAATCTCAATTCTGTATAGCTCCTGTGTGTGTGCACATAATCAAAATGGTTCATTTATCTATTTTTTGTCTTTTTTTTAGTTTTTTAATTAATGCATGTTTGTGATACATTATAATTACATTCATCGTGGGTAATTGATACATAGACATATTGTATCTTAAATTTGTTTACTGTTAATCTGACTACTGTTAGTTTATTCCAGAGACTTGAATTATCAGAACTTTGGACCCAGGGCCTGGATGTAGCTTAGTGGCACCGTGCCTGCCTGGCAACCACAAGGCCCTGAGTTCAATTCCTGGTACCTGAAAAAAAAAACAAAAACAAACTTTGGACCCAGACTTTCTGTTGTCTTGGGTTTTGTGAGCCACGGGGACTTTAGTTCAGCCCAGAATGTCGTATCTTGAACCCCAAACACATACATACATTAAGCAAAATATAACAAGGATGTGTTCTTGAGTTTTATTTTGTTTCTTTTTTGTCAATGCTGGGGATGGTACCTAGGGATTTGCAAATGTTGTATTTTCCAGGGGGCTGTAGTTTGAGACAGGATCCTGCTATGTA